ACTATTGTGCAACAATAAATTCCTAACACTTTAATTGTTAGTTTTTAAATGGTTATTTGGATGGTTATTTGACAATTTGTCGTTTATGTTCCATAACAACGATCAATTTTTAGAGCGTTATTGATGTCGAGTAATATGAATTCAATCAAAAACTACCTTATCATTGCTTTCGAGTGTTGCAAGACGCTGTTTGAGAGTGCTTAATGAGGCAAATGCACGCGCTGCATTCACCTTTAACATCTCACAATTACTACATTCTCTCTGATCAGGACTCTTCGACAAGCCATCATCTCGTTGATCGGGAACAATGCCATCGGATGTCTGAAATTTTGATTACATCACATTTGAATTATGACATGAGCGGAAAATTTTTGGAATTAAGAGATTTCAGAAGAAGGAAGCTATACATTTTCAGTCTGTGAAGCCAAACAGATGAGGCAAGTTGTATCTCAAGTTCGAATAATCTGTCGTTTTTCTTTGACTATTACAAACAACGAATATCCAATGAAAATTACCGTATTACTGTTTTCTAGAGCTGCAAGACGTTGTTTCAGAGTGCTCAGTGAGGCGAATGCACGCGCTGCATTCATNTTTAACAACTCACAATTACTGCATTCTTTCTGACTAGAAGTCGTCGGAGAATCGTCGTCGTCATCTCTTTGAGCGTCATCTGTGCCACCGGATTTCTGGAATTTTGATTACTTCAGTGGTATCTGCAGGAAATTCATCTAAGAGAGGTAGGGAATTTCTTTAGATAGAGGAGTGCATGCAACTGCAGTCGATGAGGCTTAACACATAAAACTTTGAGGCCTCCAGCGACCACCGATAAAAATCCTTCGAAGCAAAAGAACCACATTCTTTCCACTGCTTTCTAGAGCCTTTTTCTTGCCCGAAATTGATGGTAACGAAAACACAAACGAACGCATGACGTACCTTATTTGAAATTGAGCTGTTTGATGATTCGTTAACCTGACTCATTAGATCTGTAGTTTATAACTCCAGAAACCCAATCAAAAACTGCTTCAAATTTGAATGAACTGATGAGGCGAATGCATATGATAATGATGACACAAACGCATTTAAAATGATAAAATACTTCCTGAAAAACAATCAGCTCAAACGAATAACATTAGCATGATTTCACACACGAACGTATTCAATTCACAATGAAATAAATAAGATTTGAAGTACGTAAATAATTTCCTGATGCATTCTACAGTCGGATACGTCACGAAAGGCACAATTTCACTATGTTCAAGAGTTCAAACGAAATGAAATATACGGGTGAACGACGACAAATCGCTCAAGTCTAAAGTCTAAAAAAAGCAACAAATCTAAACTCCGACAAAAATCACCACGTTACTCAATGATGAGGCACGCGCAGATTGTCGGAGTGGCACCTTGTCGCCAACCAAATGTCGTAGACCCAAATATATCCTTGTTAAAACGGATCTACGACAATTCATTCTGCGACAGGTTCCACCCCGACGAATAGTACCGCAAAATTTTAAGAAAGCACGTAAACCTCACCACCGAATAGCAGGGTGCTATTTTCCGGGGCGGAATATGCCACCGAGCTAATTGACAGTCACCATTGTCAAAGGGGCATGCTGACAGTCTACCAAATGTGAACGGGGTGACAGTTCGCCAAGAGGCGGAATTCGGATTTTCATTTGATGTGTTCAGACAAGTAAATTTCTTACCCATTGAGCAGGAATGAATCCGGGCAATTCATGTGCCATTTTATAGCGCAGATCTAGGAGAACAAAACACAACTGACAGATCTGTCAGTAATCGACGTGTGTTCGAGATTTTCGATTTCGCGTTACTTGCAAAAATGCAATAGATAATTTGAGTTGGTACCCACTCGACAGGAAAAATTTATAATCATGATATATACCATGTTGTAGCCGAGACTGAGTAAAACAAAAATCTTCTGCAAATGTTGTCGCCAATTGTTAAGTTAGGAGAGTTATGACGCTCGGCGTGACCAATGCTGACGTTCACAAATACTCTGACTGACTATAAATAAACCGACTGATATTCTTCTGAAAACGTAACACAGATAAAGTTCGAGATTTCTGA